CTTTCCTTTCCTTTCCTTTCCTTTCCTTTCCTTTCCTTTCCTTTCCTTTCCAATTTTTACATTTTGTGAAAAGATTTTGGGGAACATGCCATAGGTGATCTGTCAACATAGGAACTTTTACTCGGGGGCCCAATATCATTGGGTTTTGGGGTTTGCTGTTACCTCTCTTTTTCTAAAAAAATGTTTAGAAATTATATTTAAACTCTCCTGGTTGTTCACAGTCCAATGATTATATATGTTCTCTCCTGGGGGTAGACTCCTGCGTTCGGTGTCTTTTCTGCACCAACCACATATTCTTGTGAAACTCTAACTTATTTTATAAGCTGCCTTATTCTCTTATTTTGCACATGTCTTTGAAAATGACATTCATTCTACCTTAATTGTTTAAATTGCCATTTCTGTGTTTTCCTAAAGAGCAAAGAGATATGGCTGTGACCTCTTTGGCTGCCATCTCCTAAATTATCCCCCAGTTTTTTTTTTCAATATATCTTTATTGATTTCAGAGAGAGGAAGGGAGAGAGAGAAACATCAATGATGAGAGTCATTGATGGTCTGCCTCCTGCACGCCCTCAACTGGGGATCGAGCCCCCAGCCCTGGCATGTGCCCTGACCGGGAATCGAACTCCAGTCACATGGATCCTAGATCAACGCTCAATCGCTGAGCCACGCCCGGCCGGGCTATCCCCAATTTTTGACACCAAACATGACGACATAGTCTATACTTGTGCTAACTGTGGAAAAGGAAGATTTCTCAGGAAGACAAAGCAAGGGCAAATTGAGAGGAAGGAAACACACTTCTGAAGTCCTGGAAAGTAAAAAGCAGGCCAAGGACCAGGAGTAAGGGGAGTCGGTCTGGGTTGTGCTCTCTCGCCCTCTTAGCTGTCTAACCTCAGGCAGGTCCTGGATGGTTTCTGTGCCTCGTTTGCGTCTCCTATAAAATGGACATAACCAGCCCTCCCCTTTCCCCAGTCTCCCGGCTGCTTCATGGGGCTGTGGGGAAGGGCCTGTGAAACAGGACACTGGAGGCGATTTGTGAAATCGGGTCAGCGCCTCATTCCTCGTTCTTCGCCCCTCTCTCGCGGTCACGGCTGAAAGGGTCTGGGGCAGACTGGCTCAGATACAGGAGTCCTGGTGGGCTTGACTGGGGGGTGTTTCCTCTGCCTCCATGGAGAACATCTAGGGCCGCCCTCGCTGCTCCCCACGTGGCCCGTGATCGCACTTAGGCTCACAAGAATAACTGGGCCTGGCGTACGGCAGGCCCTTCTCAGCCTTGCCGAGGGCATTCACAGGGACAGCCAGCCCCAGGGAGGGGACAACAGGGAGGCGCCAAGTCCAGGCCATCAGGCCAGGCAGCTTCAAACCAGGCCAAGAGGAAGGAGCTGACAAGTTGTTCAATGTCCTAATTCCAGGAGCTGCCCTTCGTATTCTCCCGCCACGTGGTCGAGGGCTGGGGTCGGGAGAGCCTCAGCCACGTAACTTCCATTTTCTCTTGCCTCAGCCATCACAGAAACCATCGAGATCCCGCAGTTCATCGGCCGCAGCTACCTGACCTACGACAGCCCGGACATCCTCAAGAGGTAAGGAGTCTCAGCGGGCACCTTCCCTATCTCCGTGCGGCGGATTTCTCAGTCTCTCTCCCCAGGCTTTTCTTTCATTTTATGAGCCAGAACATAATCCTCAAAGAAGGCAGTTTAGCCATGGCCTTGGGCGAAAACCACCGCACATCATAAACATAGAAACTAGACTGAACACAACAAAAAAAACAAATTAAAAACTTGAAAGAGGCAGCCTTTCAAACAACCCAAACCCTGCGGAGGGGGAGCGCCCCGCCTTGGGCTCTCCAGGCCTCACAACTCCCCAAGCCGGGCTTGTGAGTGGTTTCCCAGGCAGGACAGCTAGCTTCGTGCTGTGCGTGGCCACCGTCTGCAGCGCCGCTTCGGACCTGCAGCAGAGGGTCCCGGTGCCCCCGCAGCTCCGCAGACGGTGCCAAGTCCCTGTCCTCCTTCGCCCCTTCAGCCACGAAGGTGCACTGTCCAGCCAGCTCAGGGAGGGCCTCAGCTCTCCTCACGTGGATAACAGCTTCTTGGCCCTCTCTGCCCAGCCTTCGCAGCAACACCGCTCGGGACCATTGTCCTATCAGGCCACCTCTCTTGTCCGACACCCCGCCTCCTGTCCAGTTGCGCCTCTGCCCTCAAGGACAGTCACTGGTGGAGCTGGCCATCCACAGCCACGATCACAGCCCAAAGAAGCTGCCAACTTGAGCCTCTTAGAAATTAAGAAACCCACTTTCTGTTGGGGAATGGGGGAACACTTTCCCAAGGACCCATCAGTGGTAGGACAGCGAGGAGGGAGGACTGGGGTGCGTATTGGGGCCCAGCCTGGGACCGTGGAGTTGACCAGGATCTGGTTAATCTGGGCTCATCGAGTGCTCTCTCATGGGGTCGCACCACAGCTGGGACGGAGACATTGCTGCCGAGCAAGCTGTCCAGACTTTTAGACCCTTGGTGTTGTGACTCGTGTGGTGATGCCTGCCCCAGTCTCCTGGTAGGCGTGTCAGAAATGCCAGGTCATTCTTATCCCTGGCTGGTCAAGCCGGCTGATGAAACTCAGAAATGGATGTGGGTGGACAGTGGTTAATGGGATGCAATTGTTTGTGTGTTTCCTCTAGGGTGTCAGGATCAAGATCAAACGTATTCATGAGGTTTAAGACGACTGCCAAAGATGGCCTGTTGATGTGGAGGGGAGACAGCCAGAGGCCCAACAGCGACTTCATTTCCTTGGGCCTTCGCGATGGAGCCCTGGTGTTCAGGTAACCCCCTGCCTGCTGCCTTCGGCATCACCTTGCAGGTCATGCCAGACAGAGGGAGGCGAAAGTGAACACAGTCTGCTGGAAGGACTGGAGCCTGAAGCTCCAGGTGTGGCCGAGGCCCCTGGGCTTTCTGTCCAGCATTCGTCTTCCAGAGCAGCAGCCAGAGGTCCATAGCCTGGGTGCCACATCTGGCCACCCACCCATTTTTGTCAGTGAAGTTTTATTGGAACACTGCCAAACTCGTTCACTTATATATTGTCTCTGACTGCTTCATGCTACAGCGGCACACTTGAATACCTTTAATAGGGACTGTATGGCAAAGCCTAAAATGTTTGTTATCTGGCTCTTACAGAACAATTTTGTGACCCCCCCCCCCAGTTGCACTATGTTTCTGCCATATGCTCCCCACTTGCAAATAGGGGACTAGTAGAAGGAGGACTCCATACAGCTGAGCATGGACCTGGGTACTCAGCTCGGGGCTCTCGGGCTGTAGCTGAGCGGGGACCTGGGTACTCAGCTCGGGGCTCTCGGGCTGTAGCTGAGCGTGGACCTGGGTACTCAGCTCGGGGCTCTCGGGCTGTAGCTGAGCGTGGACCTGGGTACTCAGCTCAAGGCTCTCTGGCTCAGACTGAGCTGATGATCTGCAGTCGGGAGACCTGGGGTTCAGTTCTGGCCAAGCTCCCTATTAGCTGTGCAGCCTCGGGAAGGAGAATGCTGCTTTCCAATCAACCACTGCGAAGGGGAAAAAGCATAGGTTTATATGTCAGTAGATCATCCTAGCATTTGGGTTTTTGTAAATGCTTCTGGGTGATACTTGTAAGGACGTCCCTGGAGTTCTTAGCTCTTTTCAGTGAATTTAGACTGCTCTCAGATTTTTCAAATGGAGGGCTATGAAACAGAGAAAGGATCCCCTGACGACGTCTTCCCAGCAGCCTGGGAGGAAGCTGGGTTCCCACAGGGCCAGGACTGGCTGTGTGATAGGAAAACGCTTCTCTGGAGATCCTGGTAGCACCTCCTCACTTGAGGCTGAAATAACTCCTCTAGACCAATGGTTCTCACAGTGTGGCCCCTGGCCCAGCAGCAGCAGCACCCGGGAACTTCCTAGAAATGCAAATTCCCAGGCCCTACCCCTGACCGGAAAAGCTCCAGGAGTGGGGCCAGCGCTCTGCTCTCACCCTTTCTCCAGGTGGGTCTGGTGCTGGCTAAGGTTTGAAATCCCCACTCGCTGTCTGGCCCGTCTCTCTGTGGGGGCAGGAGTTTCTCTGGCTTCCCCTTCTTTACCCCCCTCTGATGCCCAGCACACGTGCTCACTGGGGGTACGGAGTTCATTTGAATTGAAATAGACAAAGGCAAAGTAAGGACTACGGGAGGATTCTGGGCTTGATTCTGGGCTCTGTGGTCAGGCACTGGGGTTCCTGGCAGCCGGGGTAGGACCATGGAAGTCTTTTCCACTTGAATAAAAAGCATCTTGAGAGGAAATGTCCCTCATCCAGCACCACCCTTGCTCCTAAACAGCAGAGCCTAAGTGATGCGATTCTGGGACTGTCAGGGACTTTTGAGGGACCTGTGTCCGGAGGCTAGAGGCTGGCCAATGAGAGCAGTTCTAACCGTCTCCGCCCCTTTCCCCCCTGGCCCCAAGGTCAAACGCCAAGCTTTTCACACCCGGTTTCAGGCTGGCTGCCGCGAAGCCATTTTCCTGTGGTTTTCCTGTGGTTAACCTCACCAAGGCCTCAAGTTCTCGATTGTGCCCAGAAAAGGGAACTGAAACAGTAGCTCAGCAGTGGGTGGGAGGCCAACTTCCCCGGTAACCTGCCAGCTGAAACCTATTCACTACCCACCCCAGCAGAACAGGGAGACTCCATCTGCTGGGGACCACCTCGCAGCCCCCACCGGCCTCACACCCACCAGCCCTGGCCGGCCCCCCGGATGCCCTCATCTCCCCACACCCCTGGGCACCCTCCTAACAACTCCACTCCATCCGGAACTTTTTCCTACGTTGCTGTGTCTCTCTCAGGTTTTTGGAAACTGGCCCCATGTTTTTCTTTGAAGCCTGGAGCTCTGGCTGTGCTCTGTGTCAGGGACGTACAACTCGGCACCCCCTGAGCCTGTCCCTGGGCCTGGGGCCACAGCTGCTGCTCCACTGAGCAGTTAGTTCCCTTCACGAAACACAGATGTGGGAATGACCTGTGGGAGGCTGGGCACAGAGGGGACCAGAGTGTAGGCCAGTGGCTTAGGTCAGCCGGGAGCTTGTCTCAGAGGTAGATTCCTGGGCCCAACCCGGAGACTCTGATGGAGCAGGTCTCCTTGGGTGCCAGAGCCCGACAGGAAACAGTCGGGGACCACGCCCTGGGAAACTGGGCCTGAAGTGGTCAAAGGCGTGAGCGTCCGAGTCAGAGAGGCTGGTTCCCATGGCCACGTGACCTCCTGCAAGCTACCGGCCCTCCCTGTGAAAAGGAAAGGGTTGGTGGCGAGGGATGAATGAGTCCATTCGTGTACCGGGCTTAGTGCAGGGCCTGGCATGTCTAGTTATTAGTGATAATGATTATCAAATTATTTCCTTTGATCAAGTGTTTTCTATGATCTAAAAACCACTATGTATCAGGTCGATAATATAAGTAAGGAAATTAGAACAATGTAACTGCTTCATAAAATGTAGCTATTATTATTGTTATTGTTTTTAGTAAGAAGTAGGCCCCACCTTCAAGCAGCTTACGTCAGTGGACCCTAGAGCGTGAACTGGTCTATTGGGTAGGAGAAACCGTTTTTGAGGTTTTAGTGTGTGACCCAGGTCCAAAGCAAACAACAGGAAACATAAGAATACAAATATGTTCTCAACCTTCTTGACTTTTCCCCTTCACCTACATGCTGGTCCTTCTGCTGACTTAGTGCTCAAAGCCCTTCTGGCAAAGAGCAAGGAAGAGCAATGAAACTCTTAAAAAAAATCATTTATGGCTTTTGCGCAAGATTAAGTAGAGGAAAAGGAATCAAAGTGCTCAGCTGAGTGCGGTTTTCCGTTCCTGTTTCGTTTCATTTTGTTTTATGATTATATGTGGCGCATAAAAGCCAGTGAGCGAGTTTTGTGAGAATCACTGGGCCGACCGTCTTTCCCGCTCGTTTTCTACGTGACCTTGGTAACATTTTCATGCAACAGAGAAAGGGCAGAGATCTAACCTTGGCAAGGTGCCCCGTGCTAGTTTGAAGGGGGAGCGGCTAAGGGGAAGTGTCGCCACATGGAGGCGGCCGAACGGTTTCTCGAAGGCCTCACCCGCTGGTATTTCCTGGAGGCCACCTTGGTGCTCAGCTCACGGCCTTTGGCGCCCGCTGCGCTGCCCAGGAAAGCTCGCATCAGGAGAGCCGATTAACGCTAGCCACCTCCCCAGGACATTGCTAGTGAAACCAGACAGGCATTCATTCATTTGTTCATTTTTTTTCATTCATTCCCATGTTTCTCCTTTTAAAAAAAACACCTCAGTTGTAATTTACATAAAGTGCACAGATGTTAGATGTACAGTTTGATAGATTTTTAAATGTCTAAACACCTGTGGACCCCCCCCCCCC